TATATATATATATATAAAAAGGTATGATATACCTTATAAAACACTTTTTCCTCATTTCCTAATCAAGAAGTAGTAACATGAAAAGAATTTTAAAAGTTGCAACCCTGGCTTATACTTCAACTGCCAAAATTAACGTATTTCTTTATGGAAGGAGTAAACTAGTTAAAATACGTAAAAAATACTATTTTGATCAAAAAGGATATATTACCTTGCGTCTTTTTCATACAGAGTTTTTGGCAAAAGATCTTTATCTACATAGACTGTGTTGGGGTAGTACCAGACTGTAAGACGGGTATCTTGAATCCCACAAAGAATGTTAGATGTGTCATTCCAAGCCAAAGTTTGAACCATTGTCCCTTAATTTAAAGACAACAGAATATTACGCGCTTCCACAAGAAACTTCAAAATAAAGGTACACTTCTCAAACTGTAGTAAAAGGGTAATTATTAGTCATTCTTAGTTCCTTTTATACGGACTGGTTTTAGCCCCCTAGTTTGTAAGGTAACATCTTACAAACTTTCAGCCAAATTCAGTTCTCTCTTTCTGAAAGAAAGTTCTTTTCAGAATAATGTTATTTTGGACTTAGCTTTGAGACTGGAGATGAAAATTAACACAATGGTCAGACTGCACCTTTGTACTTACTGGATCATGCATCTGTCTACAGCATTTAAACTTTTAATGAATTTATTTAACTTAAAGAGTTTGCATTTGCAAGAAAAATGTCTGAAAGATTCTGTATTAAATAATTCTGAGGAATACATCCTTCTCCAATATCCTCTTAGCTGCTTGCTCCGGAATGCAATAACAAGTGCTTAAGTGTTAATAACTGCTTTACATGTAACTGATATAAAAATTATCAGAATTTAGATAAAATGTACTAAAATTGTTTCTACCACTATCTTCTGAAAGCCACAGGACTATTTCTAATGTTTTTTCAAGTTCAATTTCACTATTAACTGAAAAGCAATGTTTTGTCTCTTGTCCTAGATAAAAGTTTATTTGCCTGCTAGCATGTAGTTAAACGTTTTGAATTTTTCTTACCTATTTTGACAATCTTCTGTTCTTTTCCAAACCGTTTAACTGAAGTAATGTAAAGATCTCTGTTCTTATCAATAAAAGCTATTTTTCTTTCACTTGTAAGTCCTTTCTGGTCCAAAGCAATCTCCACAATTTCCGTCTGAAAAGGAAAAAAAAAATATCTGATTTTTATTTTGGAGATTCATATCAGAGAAAGCATGTGATATTCAAAGAAATTAATGCTTTACTAAAAACAAGGCACAAAACTCTTGAAAAACTGGATTGTGAAGACACTTTATGTGTGTCTTCTCTGTTGAATGATGCATTATATAAATCGAATTTCATGCAGATTAAATCAAAACTGCAACAGAAAAGAGTTAGCAGTTTAGGAATTTACTACAAAACTGCAGAAATACAAGTGGCAGTCTCAAAGCAAAAGCTGCCTAATAGATGAAGGTTCATTTCTCTCTCCAAAGCTGCTGCCTAATTTTGCTTTTTTTTGTACACCAGAAGAGCAAAGAAAAGTGCAATGCAGTTCAGGCAATCATTTTTGAAGTAAAACCAGTAAAAGCTCAGACTGAAGACAGACAACTTTTCATTGATGTTTTCTTCAGAGTTAAAACCAGGTCGGCACTAATAAAAGTTGCTTTGGGGTACATGCAAAGGAAGCTCAGTTGATCAGTTTTACTGCATAACACCACCATTTACCTGTAGTTTCAAACTCTTACGTGCATGGGAAACACACGCCAGTAACTGAATACAACCTACAGTATATTCCTTTGTACATCGACACTGCACAAAGAATCTGGTTTTTGTTATTTTATAAGAGTGAGCTGGAGTTGTCAAGCTCCTTTCTATTAAGACTGTAAACCTTTAATAGGCTATTAGACCCATTACTAAGGAAACCCATTACTGATTCTTAATTTCAAAGTATAATTAAAAAAAGAGACATTATATCCTTCACTTTACCTTATGGGTTAGAGGCTTTCCATCACCCAATGGCTTTCCAGATAAAGCTTCAAATATGTAGATAACTGAAGAAAAAAAGATTATATGGTTTATTAGTTAAAAGCGACAGTTCTTCATAGACTTTTCAAGCAGTTCCATTCATTTTCCGAGTACAATTTACTGCCAGTGGATACTTATTACTGTGTGCTAGATTTACCAGTGACTTTCACACTCTGGCCAAAAAAGAACCTTACAGTTGGGAAAATGTAACCATCATAGTCTGCTGAGCTTAGGAATAGTCTCATTTTGCAATCAGAGTGATCTGTGAAAATTCTCAAATATTATTTTCAGAGCACTGATGATAGCCATTGAAACATGATACTATGGACTGACTCAGAATTGAGAAAACGAAACGTTTTACTTCCTATCGCAGCTCAAATGGTTATTTACAGAAACAACACTGAGTTCTATCTGATGCAAGTTTCTACCCTGCATTCTGAATGAATTAATGTTACCAAGGCTATCTGATAGATTTATTCAATCTTAACCCACAATTTTGATGACTACGAAAGTTTAGGAAGTGATACCATTGACTGATATATTTTCCTAAAGGAATTAGTATTGGATATATAGATATATCTGATAGATATAGAAAGATATAGATACAGAAAGATATAGAAAGCTGTCCTTTGAACTATTGAGTAAAACACTCTTCAGAAGCATTTTCTATTTTGTTAATAATTGGCTCTATTTTGAATTCTTAATACAGTGGTCCCTAGGCATATTTTCTTCCAGGAGTTTAGGGTTTCTGCTTGTCAGGATGATACAGTTAATGACAATACATTAATAACTGGCTTCCTCAAAAAGCATCTGCTTTATCCAGATACACTTGAGTTTTAGATATAATTCTTGCGATCTTTACCAAAAGTCCATCTGTTCCACTCTCTCCCTGTCTCACCCTCAAAAAAAAAAAGAAAACAAAAAACCTCTCCAAAACCCCCCACCTACATCATCTGTATTTCTGGGATATCCAGTGAAGACTCAAATTTGCAACTTGCCTAAAAATAAAGTTTCTCTTTCTGTCTCTCTCTCTACATCTGTGTGTGACGCACACACATCCATGTGTGTTCAAAACCTATTCCTACGTACTTTCTATATAACTGTGAATACACACACGAATTCAGGCAGATGTAGGTGGAGTATTCAAACCCAGAGAAAAATGCTGACATTATAAGGAACACCAGCCGTAATTTAAAGCAGATGATTCCGCATTAGGTCATGGAAAACACAGATGCGACAGAAACATTTCAGATGTTCAATAATGCATCCCACCTGCAGTTTCAACACATTACCTGTAAGTATACAATATAAGATGAACATACATGTTCATTCCAAAGGATGGCGATGTTAACATGTTAATCCTGCTGTGCATTTCTTTCACTAGGACACAGGATGTTGGTTTGAGGTCAATGGTTATACAGGCAGAATTAAAAAAAAAAAAAAAAGTAAGAGCAGGTGTTCAGAAAGCATTGGTTGAGTTTGCAGAGGAGGAGAAGAAAGGGTTTTGCACAAGTGTTGCTCTTGTCAGCTGGCTAAATATACAAAAGAAAACTAGTTGTTCCTGAGAAGTGGTATTTTTCTCACTTTTATGCATGGCTCCCTGCACGAAATTTATTTTGATCTAGCTATATAAGCAAATTTTACTGCTACTATACTAGCTATAGGAAGTGAGATTAAGAGAGTTTTAAAGAAAACCACTGTACCTAACTGACAAGTAAAATTGGTTAACTTTTCATTAATCTACAATGCTTATTAAGGTATTTCAGAAAATAAGTTTGGGGTTGGTTCCCTCCCCCCCCCATCTGGAAAAACTCCTCATCGCTTTACAATCATTTAGAACCTAAAATATATATTTTTTTTATTATGTATAAATTAAAAATATAAAGAAAGGGCATTCTCTCGCTTTGAACATCCGGAGAAAGAGAACAGCCACTGTGTGTCTTTTAACACACACGTTCTGTTATCATGGAGTAACTGCTCCTAGGGCCAGCAGTTCCCTTTTGAGAATGGGCTCACCTCCCTCTTCCAGCTTCATTAGAGACTGAGGAAGGACCGTAAGCGCAGAGGCACCAGTCTTTTGTCTAGGTTACTGAAAGAGGAAGAATATCCAAGTAATGACACTGAAGCACAGCAAGTTACAGCTCTCTCTGTTTCAGAGTAAATGAGCTTGTAGAGAGCTCCGTGCTACAACGTGTGAACTGCTTCCTGTATCAAACTGAGCTATCTTAGACATTTCTATAATGCAGTGTATCATGAAAAACAGACCTGCCCTCAAAATAGGGCAAAGGAAAAAAAAACGCTTCTGCTGGGGCGAGTTGAGAAGAATAAACAGGCCTAGATAAGCCATGGTTTCCTGTGCCAAGAATCTGTTTTCCCATGTGCTGGCATATTATATGGCTTTTTACCACTACTAGTGGGACTCGTATCTTACAAAAAAACTCAAAACCAAAACAAACAAACAAAAAAAACCAAACCAAAACCCACCCCTACTCATTGCCCCGATGGAAGCTCTGATCATTTGGAGAGCTTATCTTGAAAATATAGCCAGAAACCCAGCCTCTGTAAATTACAATTTTGATGAAGATTAAGCCTGCCTGCAGGCTGACAAGCTTGTCAGGACACTCCCAGGAACGGCTGGGACATGGAGATGCTCTTCAGTCTATTCAAGAAGACAGGCAGGGGAACAGGGCAAGAGAGTGAGTTTACCATCAAAATCTTCAATATGCATGCACATAGACAGCTTCCTATAATCTATGGATTAATTTTCTAAATAACCTCAATTTATTTAAAATACTTTTATTGTTTTTATACTAACTGCATCAAGGTGTCAATATGGCAATAAAATAAACTCTCTGAGTTATACACCTTAAGTAATATAAAAATAAACATACATACACTTGTTTAATATAAATAGACACACACAGAGTAAAAGATCAGAAATAAGATGCAACTTTTCACTTATCCTTTTTTTTTTTTGCAAACTACTCCTTTCTTCTGAATAATTTACACTGAAATATATTTTTGCTAATTAAAATCCATTTTAATTATTACACAGCTATTCTAGATATCTTTAACGTCTTGATGCTTGAGGATATTTTCTCAAGTAGTTGTCCTTAAAAATGAAATGTGCATTACAGTTATATTACTACTCTTTAAAGTAATTATTAAAATGAATCATATCTGAAATAGATATCTAAAATAGCTGTGTTTTAATTAAAGTATTTGTTTTGACATAAAAGGTAAGGTTGTGCAAGAAAAAAACCCACACATGTAAGTTGTACGGAGTAGCAAAATTGCTTTGTAACAAGTAAGTGAGAAAAATCTCACCTATTTTTTCTTTTGCTTGGGTAGGGATATTTTAAAGGATTATTACAAGGGGGTTTTTTTCAGTCATCAAGTAATTTAAGTTGTGGGTTATATGCTGAGAAAACTACCATGCCATCAGTACTAAAGGGCTAACTCACTGCCTATAATAATAATCAGGATCTTCTTTTGCCTTTTGTACTTCACACTGAAAGGTGTTTTTTCCCTGGCAATGAGAAGATAAATACGATTCTTCTTTGCTGCAAGACAAAGAATTCTAAAATTCTGGAACTGTTTAAAATCTAATCATTAAATCTAAGCTAACAGATAGAGTTTTAGATAATAGATTGATTTAGTGTCAGTTGGAACCATGGGCAGGAAGTTTTCACTGTTTCACTCTGCAAGAACAGCACCTCCTGCGCACGGTTGTTCCCACCGGTAATCTCCTTACTGGCCATATCGCAGGGGAAATACAGCTGTAGATAGCACTGCAGCCCTGTACTGTCATATTTGTATGGCCTATAAATGGCACAGTTGTGAAATCAAAAGTCATAGCGCCATGGGTTTTCCAGCAATGGAAGTGTCTGTCTCCAGCAAACACTGAAAATTTAAATTGGTGCACAGGCAAACTACACATTTGCATCAAAAGACAGAACAAAGGAAAAAAGCTGACTGACAAAAAGATATTCCTGTACCACTCATTAATGCAAAAATTTACCTGGAGCTCATTTGGCCATGTTGTGTTTTACAATTACAGTGCTTTTGATGCCAAAACACAAATTTTAAGAGCCTAAAAATCTTCAGGAACACAACACTGAGACAGACCATCACAGCCTCATAACTATGGTCATACCAGCTGTGTATAAAACTTACATGCTGTAAAGATACAAACCCCAAAAAACTAAAACAAAGAACATCTGAGAACTAAAATTAATCACAGCTAATATATTGGTAGCTTCTAAGAGCAGCAGTCAAGCAGAACAAGTTGCTGAGGTACTTCTTCGGAAAATCATGTCAGAGGGTGAAAACCTACCGTTCAAGTCTTTGCTGCAAATATTCCATGGTTCTCTGACACATTACACACAACTGGAAGCTCAGAGACGTATTTAATTTCCTTTAAGTTTTTTAATCAAAGTTAAGCAAGACCCATCATTTTAATTCATTTTTATAATAAATATTGTCTTTAATTTAAAATTGTTTATGCTTTTTTACTATAACTATGCTAAGTAAAGTTAAATGCGAAGACGTTGAAAACTTCATAGTGAATTATTAGCAAACATTGAACTATTAGAACGGAGAACTTACCCTTTTCATCAGCTTTGTCTTTTACTGCTAGAGTATCATTACTCAGAGATACTGTCTGGGCATTTAAAACGTCTGTTCTCATTCCTGGAAATTTTGGAGAGGAAATTAATCTTCCTTCATAGGAATATAAATAAAGTCCTCCACCATCTACAAGAAGAAAATGCCTACAAAAAACCCAACAAAAATGTAAATCACTAAATCATACAGAAAAGCATGATGACAGTTTCAACCATTTGAAGTTAATTGTCTAATATCCTGCAATTGTTTTCAGTTAAACTACATCATTTCTAAGCCTCACATTTCAAAGTTGATATTCTGAAAGCTCTGTATGGAAGATTTCCATTTTAATGTGAATGTTATCTTTTTCCATGAGACATCTTTATTATCTGGAATCGGTATGATTTTACCTGTTGTAGATTCTACAACATTTAAATCTTGTAACTCCTGATGAGAAAGCATACAGCTGGAGACGGTACTCCCCACACATCACCCCGTGAGACAACACTGCATGTGTGTATGTGAGAAACAGCTTTAATGTTTACAGCCAGCTTTGAAATAGTATCACCTGGATCATTTCTTTCAGTACGACTAGATTATAATGTAAAGCAAAGAGAAGACACTTTTAATGAACTGATCACCATCTATTACAATGCAGGGCTTCCGTGAAAAATAACTTATTTGCAGGAAAACTTTGCAAAATTCTACAAAGAATACAAATAGTTCTACGTAACAATAACTGGTAAGTACAGTATCTATAATTCATAGACACAAAACACATCCATAAACAAAAAGCCAGTTGTTGGATCCTCACCTATTGTAAATGTTACCAATTGCTGGCACCAAAAGAACCACTGTCTGTTTGCACGTTATCTGTCAGGGCAGAGTGGTTTCACCACAACCTTACATTCAGTTCTGTGATGTCGTGATCACCCACAACTGCCAAAGAATCTGTGTCATGTTTTCAAAATTTACTTTTAATTGGCAGCACAAAACTTCAAATCTAGAACCTGATCTTCCAAATCCTGTTCCTTTACTTACCCATTCTCTACTGTAGTAACTTTGTAGACGAGGACATAAATGTTTAATCTGGGGCACTCAAAAATGCAGTGAGCATTGTGCTGCACTATGCTGAAATAGTTGTCCGACAATATTTGAGCAAGAGAATTAAGACTACAATCAAAACTCAAGAGTTTTTACTTCTGTTCCTATTTTTAGTCCTTTGAAAGACTCTCCTTCTACAAAAGTACATGTAAAGATCTCTTTGACAAATAATTTCCAGGAAATACAGATTAATTTTTTTTAAAACTGAAAACAAAATAGTACTTTCTTGCAAATATAAATACAAATATGTAAGAAAAATGCAACTATTTATTTTTATTTGGCATACCTGGCAAAGCTTTTAATAAAAATTGGAGACCAAAGATAATTTATATAAAATATATTCCACTTCAAAAAAGCAATATCAAAAATGACAAAAAAAACTCCACTGAAGAGCTATTTTCTTCCATAAATAAGAGTATAAACATACAAATGTAATATATGAAAAGATTCATTACTGCCATCACAGATCTATGACAAATATACCAGCTAAGCCATCACATGCTACTTACCAATACTGTACACTTTTTGCCTCTTTCTATATGTGCTTATGTTATATAACAAAGTTTTAGGAAACGCACGTCCACATCTAATAGTGAGCATTACAAGAAGTAAGCTACCTTTCCGCTTGTAGAATCAAACTAACTGTTCCTTCCTTCAGGTCAAAGATCAGTGGTGTATTCCAGTTCTTTGTACTGCAAAGAAAAAAATTCATCATTAGTTAAAACTGCTGATCTTCACGTATCAATGCAAATACGAAGTTGAATTCACTAAGTAAAGCACACATTTTCATCATCTAACATTCCTAAAAAGGGAGGTAGGAAGATCCGGAGGTAGAGTCCCTCTCTTGTGTGCCCTATTACAGGCTCCGTTTTTTGTTCAGCATTAGTCATCTCGCTGAACAGGTAAGCGTCTTTAGGAGTAAACTTTAAATTTCAGCATATGAAACAGAATATCATGTTCTTAAAACATGATGCAGAGTTGAATCATTCCTATTCCATTCCAAAAATAATGGCACGCCAGAAGCAGCACCCAAAAAAAAAAAAAAAAAAAAAAAAAGAAGGGTCCCTAGATGGAGGCACAAATACCCTTGCATCCAGCCACCACTCCTGCTGCCTCCACATGGAAAGAAAGCCTGCCAGATTTTTGTAGCAAAATGAACAGGCAGTCATGGCACTGGCAAGAAGTGGAAAGAAAGGATGACAGGAGGAGGGCAATTATACTCCAACACATTTGTTGTAGATGGTGCCAGGTTCCATAGAATATTTCAATTAGTTAAAAAAAAAAAAAATTAACTACCGTACTTCAAATCAAGTTTCTGCTACTGCCTTACAATTGTTAGATAAACTTGAGAAAGCTTAATGAATTTTTATTACTTACGAAAACACATAACACTGAAGAGAAGTTGAAACAACCAAATGCCCGTAGTTCAAAGAGGCCTTAATAACCCTGTCACGGAATTCCAACAAATCTACCGCATCATTAATAACATTGTGCACCTAATCAAAAGAAAATTTTGGTTGAATTAATATTCACAATATTAATATTAAAATTCACAATAAGGGAAATGAAAACTAACTAGTGAAATATCATATTCTTTCTTATTATAAGTACATGCTGACACTATTATGCCATTAGCAGAATATATCTATGTGGGAACAAGCACTTTCACAGCACCGGTGAAAACTTAAAACTCAAAGGTTCTATAAACTCTGAATAAACAATGAATAATTACTGAAGGGCTGTTTGGAGCTCCTTAAAAGAAAGGAGTAATTAATGCATACCTAGAATACATAAGGTATGAGCACAATATTATACATAAGGTTGAGAAAATCATCTGAGATCAAGGATGTCTGAAAGTTCCCATTTTAAGACTCAGTATTCAGTTGCTGATTATTTAAACATTTGAAGTATAATACTTCAGTGATCCTGTCATGATGCCATCAAGACAATTCAGCAATATCCAAGATTTGGATAAAGACATGCTGTCTAGATGTTGAGTAGTTCTAGCATGTATTTGAATGCTACCTCACTCTGAAGGAAGGGAAATTCAGGAGATGGCCTTGGTGAGCAGGCTGTGCCTTTGCCATGCCTGTGAAAGTTTGCTCAAATGACAAAGTTTCAAGAAAATCACAGTTTGCCTGTAATCAACACAGATTTTTGAGCTCAAAGATTTCAGGCAGCTAAAATCTAAGGAGATATGACAGTTTTTTGTTTGGGATTTTTTTTGTTTTCATTTTTTGGTGGGGTGGGGTTTTTTTTTTTTTTTTTTTTGAGATGTCACCATTCTGAGGGTGGTAACTTCTTTTTTTATTTTCTCCCTTATGCAACCAATTGCAAAACAAGGACTGAACTCAATTACTATGAAAGCCTAGAAACCATTTCCAAAGACATCTTAATTGCTATGTTCACCGCAGCGATATGTCCATAATTAACTTGGCTATTGTAGTACTCAGAAAAAAAGAATGCATCTAGAACTTTTTTGTAGGCAATATTTTCCTACATAAATATATAGGAATAAAATAAAACCACTATAAAATAGTAAAATAAAAAAAATAGTCCCAAATCAGGGTTAGCTATACTTCCTTAGTTGTTTGCATATTCAAACACCCTGGAGACTATTCACAGAGCCCATCTGTTACGAGTCGATGTCTGGGAATGAAAGAAGAAATATGAATTTTTACCTGCTAATTTGTCTTCTGTGTTCCCAGACACTGACTCATGTTATCCCACCCACCGGACCAAATAGCAATACAGCATTTCTGTTGTTACAACTTTTCCCAATTACATGTTCAACAGTAAAGAATCAGGACCAAAAAAAAAATTTAAGGGCCTAATTAGGAATTTAGGAACTTGACTTCGATATAGAGAATATTGGCCTGGTGTCCAATACCAAATGTGTAATTTGGAAAATTTGTAAGAATGGAAATCTTATACTATCCCAGCGTTCAGAGAGTGAATGTTGTGAGTCAGTGTCTGGGAACACAGAGGACAAATTAGAAGGTAAAAATTCATATTTTTGTATTAATTCCCAGATATTTGGTAACCTAAATGTGGATTCAGGCCAAGATTTTTCAAAAGAAGGATCCTAAACTTAAGTTCCAGAAACCACATGTAGGGGCCTGTTTCATTTCCAGCAGCGCTGAGACTTGGCAGCTCCCACTGAGGTCAATGCCTGTTGCTCAGTACTCAGCTGGAAGCACCATGCAGGTACCTGATATATGGTATATGATATATGACAAATTTCTGTAGCTTTGGAAGATCTGAATCTAGGCTGTAATACAATATGTGGTGCAGAAAAGCACATTACAACTCGTTACCGTTCGAGCCAGCAACCAAATTTATCTGGAAATGCCCTAAGACAGCAACATTCATCATAGCTTCATTAACAGGGATACAGCAAACTAAAGCATTAGCTATTACTAAAGCATTAGCTATTACAAAGTGCATCAGTGCCTCCAAAAACTCATGAATGCAGTGAGGTAAAGAAAGCTCCTCTATGTTATCAACACTTAATTATGCAGCTTCATCTTTGCTGACAGTTACTGTAATACTATTTAATATGACACTTTGGTTTTGGCCAAGGTATTCGTATTGTTTTCTGCATAAACATTGTCATTACACTTAAAGTTATCTCCCTCTTGGAAGTTGCCTCCCACAGCTCATTTCACATGCTCTTCAAATGAGCTTTGCCTTTTTCTGGAGGATAAAGTACTTCCGAGTTAAGTAATTCTGGTCCGTCTGGTGGTATGGTTTGGTTTACACGGATCTGGTCTTCTGTACAACTGATAATTATTTACACCATTTGCTAACTCTGGCCATTTTATGATCTTCAACATTTTTCAGTCCCATATACACAAAAAAAAAGGACAGTGTTTTGTTGAGGATTAAAAATTCCCATTTTGTATTAAAAAAAAGCCTTAGAAAGCTAGTAATCAGAACCCACAGCTCTGAACTGTGTAATTTACCTCCATGGTTCTCCTCTTAATTAACGTTATTTCAAAGTTCTTCCACTCCCAGCGTTGCTCCACGACATGGGCAAAAATGACATGTCCGTTTCCACATGCTCCAGCTAGTTGAGTGCCATCAATAGACCAAGCAATATTAAATATGCTGCCAGTGTTTGGCTTCTCTAAAGCATAAGACCACTTGCAGAAAAAGAGAAAAGAATTCTTAATTTTTTGGCACTTTTTGGAAATGATTTATTGTAATAAACAGATTTGCACGGTTATAATTTTTAAGAAACATCAATGAACTGACTTTTTATTACAGCTTGAATAAGCAAACCAAAGAGATTAGATGTCTTAAGTCAGATTCTTGAAAAACAGGGATACAAAAAGGAAAACCATCAGGTATGGCAGAAATGAAAAATGTCACAATGCCTGAAGTACATTAGGTAGAAGCTATCTAGTCACAATACTTTTAAAGTGTGCTTAGTAATTCATAAATCTAGACAATCACTACATAAAAATTAAGAAAAAGTACTTAGAAACAATTATACTGGTTACATGGGTGCAAGGGGCTATGGTCTTAAATGCAATGCATTCAGTTTATGCTGCACTGACAGCAGCTCCTGAATACAGAAATAGCAAGGCCTGGGCAAAATCAGTCAGTATAAACAAGGCACTCCTATCCCGGTATACAGAGAATTGCAAAGCTCTTGTGTTGCTTATAGAATCACAGAATCGTAGAATCGTTTAGGTTGGAGAAGACCTTTAAGATCATCCAGTCCAACCATTAACCTACGCTACCAAGTCCACACTAAGCCAATCAAGGGTAGACTAGACTAAACCATGTCCCAAAGTGCCACCTCTGCCCGTTTTTTGAACACTTCCAGGGATGGGGACTCCACCACCTCTCTGGGCAGCCTGTTCCAATGCTTGACCACCCTTTCCGTGAAGAAATTTTTCCTCCTATCCAACCTAAACCTCCCCCGGCGCAGCTTGAGCCCATTTCCTCTCGTCCTATCGCTAACTACTTGGGAGAAGAGACCAACACCCATGCTTCCAACATAAGGGACATCGGTGGATTAAGAAAGCTCCAAAAGCAATGCCTGTATACTGCTCTCCTCCTAACACAAAAAAAGAAGCTAGATACCCTGCCTACCTTTTCTCTAGCCTCTGTCGTTACTGTTCAAGGGAAAGATGTATTAAAAATTTCCAGTTGCTGTGCTTGCAATAACAACAAAAAATTGAAACACCACTGCAACTAAAGCAGCGACATCTGGCCTAGCTTTGGAGAGACCCAGAAACAATAGCTCTGTGTGTTGCATTCGGTTTAGACTAATTAAGAAGCGCTCACGGAGGAGTATCACAGTTTAATGTCGTGGGGCCACAGGTCAAATAAATATATTTCAGAATCTTACGATCAAAATTAGTGTATCTGCTTTCCTATGGAGCTAGAAATTCAAATAGCAGGCAAAATGGCATCATTGTACATTTTCCTGCTAATTGGGTTTTGCAAGGTGGAAAGGCTCACTTGGACCTAAAGAATGCATTTCTGTGGTACTGCGGCTAACATTTTCCTTCGTCCTCTACTACTGGTTTACATCATCTACGTCTATGAAAATATAGTTATCAGTTTGGTTTGGTGGTTTTTAAATGGAGGCCCAAAATCATTGGGATAGCGGGAAGCTGTGAAAGCAGCAGTGACTGGAAGCTTGCAGAGCAGCACGGATCCGGGACCAGGAGACGCGCAGCTCAGCCGCAGGCAAACGACATCAGAGGTCATACAGCACTTGGTGAGCTGTGGGCTGGCTGCTAAAAGATGCTTTTAATAAAAAAATAAAGGAGCTTTATACTCTCTCGCAACAGGGCGTAAGCTGCATTTAGCATTTTAATTCCTTGCCTGCCTCTGCACGTGGCAGAGTGCCCCCCATCCTGCCCCGTGGAATCGCCTGTTCCAGTGCAAGGGGGATGCACAGGCAGAGCGTGCGCTTTAATGAAACAGCACGTCTTATCCGTTGACTTCCACCCATATTTTCATTCTGTTTTCATTCTGTTAGCATTGCAAAAAAATACAACTATAAATCCCTCTAGCACAAAGAATAAGCAAGAGGTATTAAAACTAGCATTTGCTTTTTTCCTTCTGATCCATAGCATGAATGTAGTTGCGAGAGAAGCTTACATTTAGTACTAAACTTAATTTTGTTCCTTTTCAATATTTACATTTCCTCCAGTGAAGAACTTTGTTCCTAAATTCCCCCAAGCCTTATGTACGAGACTCCTCTAAAGTTTAGCTGGATCCTTATTAACACGTTCTTGTAAAAAACTAGAAGAATTTTCAGACCAAGACACTTGTGTTCTCTCTCTCTTGCATCTCAGAAATACAGTTCATACACATCATCCCAAATCTCCAAGCAAGTGTTTCCCTGAAAGTGGATGACAAAAAAATGAAACAACCGTTTTACGGGCCTTCAGGAAGACATTGAACCAGGTTTTAAAATGAGAAGCAAATCTCAACTATAGCCTCTTCAGAACTGTGTAGTAGAATATTTTAAAAAACATTTAGCAATTGAAAAATTATCTGAATATTCAAATACATTTGAAATCTTAAGAACCAAATCAGTAAGAAAAAACATGTGATTGAAGTTAAATGTAGACATTGGATTCTCATGACTTTTGGATACATGATATTATAGCAAAGGGGAGACAGTTGGAAGAAAATACTCACCTAATGTTTCTAACACATTTCATATTCTGATTTCTTTTGCAGTACACATAAAACCCAAGAAATACCAAGTCCTTCACACAAAGTCTTCATATGATTTATAAGAAATGAAATCACAAAAGTTACAGTAAAATAAAGGTGTCAGACTTAAACATTCAATAGCAAGGAAACACAATGGGATGAAATTCAACCTCCCAGTTGTGCTAATGATTTGCAGAATACTGTGTAAGATGAGCCACCGAGTTAAGGCTCTTTTACTGCCTACGCGCACGAGGGTGAGCAAAAGACAATGTCAGCACTGACTGAATTTCCAATTTCGAGCACTCAATTTTAAGGCTTCGGCTTCCATGCCTCTCGGCTCACACACATGCCATGCACTGCCTATATGATCTGCAGTGGCGGAGGGTAATTGCAATTTTTGGAGAAAAGTCCATAACCTACCCTTCTGTCTCAACGGGATGAATTCTGTATGAAACACTCTATAGTAATTAAGAGCATAATATTTAACTATGTCTGACATCCTTATATGGCAAATGAGTAAGCACTTGAGGTTGTAGGACAAATGATTGTAACAAGCACACCCAGAGAATGCTCTAAATGCCCCACATCTGAGACATATTTTTCACAGCTGGCCAGATGTGACCTATCTGAGAACAGTTTGAAGAAGTGCTATTTCAAAACTGAATATCGGGATCCTCCCAAACAGACTTTTTTCAGAATGAATAATAAAGGAGCATCAAGCCATCAAACTAAGAACCAGTTTAAGGAGCTTGAAGAATGTGGCTTTAGAGCTACATTTTTATGCATAGCAGATACACTGCACCTCTGAGAGGACACATTTCCAAAATGACTACTGGGGTTTTTTTAACCAGAAGTCTTTTTTTTTTTCAGGTAGTTGAAATACTGAGTAAAATATTTCCAGATTACAACTTAAGTTTTTTTTTAAAAAATATATAAAGCAATTACAAAGTTTTATTTTCCAGTTATCTTTGAAAGCTCTCAGTATAATTCAGACCACTCCAATGATTCATACTCCCTGCAGATGTCTGGTACATTTACCATGTACACAAAATGTTATAATAAAAATCATTTAGCTCTCCATTTGTAAGATAGGAACAATTTTTAAAAACCGAAATAGCTGTTACGTATTTCCTAGATACACTGAGTTAAAAAAAAAAAAAAAAGGCATAATGTGACTATATGAATGACTGTATGAACGCTGTTCTAACATTAGCTGCCATATTATACTTTTATATTACTGTTTGGCTTATACTTTTCCTGTGTCATAATTAATTTTTCATTTAATTCATCGAACTCTCTCAAGAACAAAAACAGTAGTTGTAAGAGTTTCATTATATTAAACAAACACATAAAAGCAGTAACTTAAGCTTCCCTTTTCTGATTGCACAATGTAGTAAAAAAAGATGAAGTACTATAGTCATTGAATACTGACTTCCATAAATGGAAACTGAGTAGGCTCTTGAGATGTCGGTGAAATTATTTCAATGAGCAGATTCAGAGAACTCTGTGTCCCAGGAACAAGGACAGTCTTTCACATGTATAATATTGATGCTCCAAGACTCAATATGAAGGATCTAGTTAGTTATTATTTCTGGACCGAACGCAATAAATTAAGAATGGTTATCCACAGCATAAATGTTTTGAAAAAACACAGCGGAGTATTTTCTTAAATTTTAAATTATAAGGGTAATACTGCTGTCAGCTGTGCAAAGGACACTTGGTTGTTCCTGGCTGTTTCGGCTCTGTCTACCGGTACGTGGAGTTTTGAACAGGGAATGCTGACACAAGCTGAACTACAGCTGAT